TAGCTTCCCCACACCCACTGGAGGAGGTTCTCCGGCAGCAGTCCTCTACATCACAGTGAGGTACGGTTTCTCCTTATGTTGATGATTCCTTGTGACCTTGCTGGTATTCATCATCCAGTGCTTGAAGCACCACCTCTGGCGGTCAGTAGGGATGAAATAGAACGATAGTTACGACTGTAACTGCGGTTCTATGAATCCAGGATGACCGCCAGAGTGCCCAGTCCCTTGGAATCCTCGTGCTTTCGCGAGAAGGTTTGAGGGACTGAGCTTCCGGTGTCACGTGATTATATAGACTCACCTGAGCCACCGGAGGTCAAGGGTGACTTTGTTGTTACTAAATTCTCGACCTGTGCATGCGCAAGGATGATCATCCAGTGCTTGAAGCACCGCCTCTGGTTGTCATCCGGGATTCATAGAACCGCAGTTACAGTCGTAACTATTGTTTTAACTCATTTTATTGTGGACCCCATATGACATGGTAAAAGTGTTAAAATTAATATACGAGTTGAATTAACACTCTTGAATTTGCTGTGTATTCGTAAATCATAAAATAAATTTGTGACCATTATTGAACATTAATGAGCATATTTTATTGTTGATTGAGTGATCGTGTCTGTCTGAACAATTACTATTACTGTATTTTTTGGACTATAAGGCACAATATCAATAATGTTGAATTCTCTTGTCTATTTTCATACATAAAGTGCACCATATGGTAAAGTGAAACAAATGGATGACACTTGAGACTTATTTCTTATTTCCTATGAGGAGAACTCAAATATAGATTGAGTAATAAAGTGTTTAATGTAGCTTTGCGCACATTTGTTTGCGTTTTACAGAAACAAAACTTAAACCACATGGCTAGTTTGCATAAACTATAAGCTATTAAAAAAACAGCTTGCTCCTTTTGTGCTGATGTGGTCAGCTTCTGTCGGACTGAAGAACATGACAGTGGAATATATGTGAAAATCGGTTCGAGGTCAGTAAGTACAACCACAATTAATACATAAGGCACACTGGATTATAAAGTGCACTGTCGATTTTTTTAGAAAATTAAGGAATTTTAAGTGCGCCTTATAGTCCGAAAAATACAATACTCAAGTTTTCAACAAAGAAAAACAGTAATCAGTGTTCCCCACAGAAAATTGGTTAGGCAAGGAGAAGAAGTGAGGAGCAGGGGCGCGCGGACATGTATGTACATGTATATTGCAGACCTACATGCAGATCGTGACAAGTCGACCCAAAGAAAATCTCTTACGACCCACCTGATGGTCGCGACCCAGTCTTTGGGAAACAATGGTGTAACGAATATCCACACTTTAGACTCTGCCCTTGCAGGAGCGTGTGTTTGTAATGGGGAGCGTCTACATTTAATTAGGGCAGTTGTGTGTGATGTCATATAGTACCTGTTTTTGACCAGAAAGCAACAACTTAACCTTATTTGCATTCAAATTGCCAAAATAGTACTAGAAACAGAAGACACTTCTATTAAAACACCACATACATACTTAAGTAGCAAGAAAAGTTGCTACTTAGTGTTTAGTTCCACTTTAATGATTGAGTTTTTTGATTTTTGAACTATGTTAAAGTACACTTGACTCCTACATGTTGTGTCTTTTTCTCCTCCACATAGCCCTTGATCTCCTGATAACTCAAGAGTCTTTCTTCTGGAGATGAAGGGCGATTCTTGTGAGAGCTCAGATGCACTCGTCTGCAATAATACTACCAGCACTGTCTGTACCTAAAAACAGAACAACAATAACTACTGTAGCCTGTCTGGAGTCTGGACATCATAATGTGCACTGCAGCGCCAACTCAACTCACAGCCCTATAGCTTTTAAACAGAAATGTAATCTCAAAGCTGTCAAATAATCACTCTAAAAGCAAACACAAACATTAATCTTCTTCTTCATCACGCCTCGGCGCTTCGAGAAATTATTAGCAATGGATTCAATGTGTCCAAAACATAAAGGACAATCTTACAACTTGGTGGAGGAGACTTTTGCACACATAGCTACTAAACAACAAGGGACAGTAATGCAAGTCTGTGAGGCATGGCAGGAGAAGACATATTTACTGGCTATAGCATTTAAGTTACAATAAAATAATGTCCTGCCATTATGTTATTTATTTATTATTCCGTATAAACACATGCATTTTCTTCCTAACTCTTCAGCTTCCTAATCATCTCTACGGAATGTTAGCTCCATAAAGAATACATACAGCATTAGCATTTAGCCTAATGTATAACATATATTCAACATCAGAACTTGTTGTTATCGTGAGGCATATTTATAACTTTTACATATTTGGCAACATTGCATTATTCAAACTAGAAAAGCACTCAGAGAGCGCAGACCTCCGCCAAGGACTACCCCCATTTTTTATATAAATTGCGATAAAATCAGTCTTCTGGATCAGATCCGGATCAGCCTTTGGAATATGAAAGAGGATCCAATTGTCCATCCCTGAGTCAAATTTCATGGGGTTTGGTCAATAATTAACCGACATATTGAGAAACAAATTTTTTGGCCCCATTTACCACAATGTTAACTAAAATTTCAAAGTGATCCAGATTCCAGGATTTCTTCCGGATCACCCCCAAAATGAAATCAGTTCTTCCTTTTCACATTTCTAACAAATCCTGAAAATTTCATCAAAATCAGTCCATAACTTTTTGAGTTATGTTGCTAAAAGACAAACAAACAGACAAACACGGGCAAAAACATAACCTCCTTGGCGGAGGTAATAATACCAATCTGAACATGTAGCCTATGTATCTGAGGGCCTGTTTACATGAGAAAGCTTGTGGGTAAAAATGACAAGATATGTGCCTTTTGTTTACACAGTGATGGCATTTTTGGGGCTTAAAAATGCAAAAATCTTAAACGACTCTCCAGAGAGGAGAAGTTAAATACACTCTGCCGTAGAGTTTCTGTGTACACTGCCCAAGAGGCAAAACTCTGGTCAGACCTGTTCATGCCGCATACGCATTTACGTCACACACATCACCACCTAGTCGCCTGGCATGCATACCCAATCAAATTCCATACACTTTTGCGTCACCGGTCCTGCACGGGTCCATTTTCACCCACCCGTGATAATTCAGACACAAATTAAAAACATTCTAACTGAAGCATCCATCACAATATGAATTGAAATGTTACAACTTCAAGAATTACAATCATGGAATGAAACATAACGCTTCCGCTTTCTTCAGTACAAACACAAATTCACAGATACGACTCGACTGTCATCACTTCACAGGCATTATTTACTGAGCAGAAGAAACACTGATTGAGATGCCAGACTTTTGCGCCACACACACCACGGACTGAACCAGCACTAAACCAGGACTAACAGAGGCCTAACCCAGGACTAACCTTGGACTGATTCCAGGACTGAACCAGGAGGACTAAACCAGGACTGAACTAGGACTAAACCAGAACTAAACCAGAACTACACCAGGACTCACTGTCAGGATGGGCACGGAGGTGCGCCCGTGTAGAATTACTGGTGACGAAAGGTGAAAGAAACAGCGCAGAGCTCCACGCTGCACGGAGGTAAGAGCAGTCGTCGCCTGATAGTGCTTTGCGGACACCCTGCTCCAAGGGCTTGGAGTTCTCGCTCTCTCTTAAGTCCAAGATTAGTCCTGGTGTAGTCTTCGCTTAGTCCTGATTTAGTCCTGACCTGCCCACATGTAATTCCTACCTACTCGCATACCCGCCCATAAAATTCCAGAATGTTAAAACCTGCCCGTTTCAGCAACCATTTGCCCGTACCTGGTGCAGGACTCTGCATCACTGTATGAATGCAGATTTCCTCCCGAAAATGCTCGTCTAAACGTGGAATAAAAAGTGAAGACGTGATGCCACTTCAGACTGTCGTCATATGAATATAGCCTTAAAAGCCATCATAATTAAATTCTTTGGCCTGTATTTTCTAATGTTATGCCTACTTTTATTCCACAGGTCCAGTGCAATGGCTGCCTGGTATGTTTTAAATTTTTTATGGTATGTTTCATGAATTGATACTAACATTCATGTAGGAGTTACCATGGTTACACAATGCACACATTAGCAAGAACTGTCAAGTTGTCTGAAAACTCAAATAAAAATACAAAATGGATTTAAACAACAAATTTTAAGGAGCCCGTACTGAGACACACAAACTGAGACATGCAGTGTAAATGTTGCAGCAACATCAACTCCAACAGTTTGCTGCAGCAAAATTTGAATTTCCCTCGGGATCCATAATGTATCTCTCTGAAAAACTGTTTGCTAATGCTAAATTAGTTCTTCATGACCAGATTATGTTAAAACAAAGCTCAGATTAAAGTCTAATTTGAGTAGCAGAGCAGTGTTTACAGTTAGCACCATATCCCCAGGGAATGTTGATGAGTTCAGCTGCAAAGTATCAATCATTTCCAGTGTTTGTATTGGTTTTTTAAATGATGTTATGCATTACATTGACATCTATTATAATAGTTACACATAAAGTTCCCATGCCCCAGTATATGCCCTGATTCCATATACTGTATCTCTCTCCTGTGCATGTACACTTTGAAGTTGTGTGCAGTACTCCCTACAGGGAAATGAATCATGAGGTGACCCACACTGCATCAGAGTAAAACAGGAGGGAGCTTCCCTTTTACTGCCCCCCTGCACAGCCACTGGCTTCAGAGAGAAAGGGGAAGAAAGAGAGACAAGAATGTGGCGATCATTTATTGATGTTAAACTGATACATTTTGAATGTGAATACAGAGCAATAGAGTAAAGAGCGCTTTTGGATCGTTGAGAGATCACAGCGTAGTGAAACTGACAGTGCGCGGCCTGTTTTCCAAAGAAACCCCTAATAGCCTATCAAATCATAACATGTGTCAGTGTCATTACTTTAAAATCACCAAGATCAGACTGATTCAATAGAAAAATAAGTGTAATTTTTAAAGGGTAAACCTCTACATGTTTTGCCTTTACTCTATACTAGGTGTTGGACCTTACCATCTCTCCGGTTGAGTTTTGCAAAGCCTGGACTGTGGCTACTGGACAGCTGTGAGGAGCTTCTGAAGGATGATGGGGGCAGGTGAGTAACCATGGCACTGTCACACATATCTGCAAGAAAAAAAGATTAAAAGAAAATTATGATGAGACAGAAACACATTACAAAGTATCTTTAACAAAGCAGCTAGGCCAGTAATTACAATATCTATTTATACACCACAGCTACTTTACAATAGGCCATATTACTACTAAGAAAGTGTATATTAAATAGTCCGCTATGTAACGTTTTGGTTGGGGTTTTGTCGCCTGCTTGTTTCTATGGATATGTAACTACCACAGTATAACATCAAACAGTTTTCCCTACATTTATTCAGTTACAGGTGGTTTTATATCTTAAAAATACCTAAAAAAAACATGAGTCTGACTTTGACCGGGGTTGACTCTTCACTGATCTGACCTGTAACTTGGTCTTGTTTGCTCTCCATTAGTAGAGAAAGGTTTAATGCCATACTGTGAGACATTCCAAATAAAGCAATAACATTTCCACAAAGAAGAGCATTTGACAGACCCCCCACCTTCACTTTACCTATAATAAGCACACTCTTTTTTCACTTCGTAGATTGCCCTTAAAACTTTTAGCTAAACTATTAGGCTTTCAAGTCATTACATTGCATTACAAAGGCAACAATGCATTTTCCCTTAATGACCCAAAACAATACCCCAAAGAGCAAGCTCATTAAGGAACAACCAGTAAATTAAACTAGTTCACTAAAACTTTATACACCACAACATAGTGTCTTTCTTAATTCCAGTCAAGTGTCAGTCATATTTTATTGCTTTAGGCTTTCTCTTGTAAATGTTTTCATAGATTCCTCTTAATATCCCCTTCTGATGATTTCTTAAGAGCAGCACATATCTCTGTGTTAAAATGTCTTTGGGGAGAATTTATTATTGAAGGAGCTATGCTTTCAAGTTTCTTTCAAGACTTGCAAGTCTTGCACTCTGTGGGTCCATAGTATTAAACCTTGATGTTTAAGGGATGTGGTCTCCAGGTTCTTGTGTTCACAATCTATGGAAATTATGGCTAGTTAATTAAAACAAATCAAAAGTAAACTCTTTCTTTCTTTTAAATAAAATATGTTTTACTTTGGCCTAAAATAATTTGTAATGGGGAAATATTTCTTTCTTAAATGAAAATAGAGCCTTATGAAAGATCGACTCTGATTGCACTGTATTTGATAAAATGTTAATATATTCTCAGTTCTTTGAAAGCTCCAGGCAAACATGTGTAACCCCTTCATTAAATAAAAATAGCTATTGTTGGCACAGCATGTAAGGGAGTCTACAAATCAAAAAGAATATTTGATAATAAAAACAATATCAAAAAACAGTCTTGGCTGTGAAGGCTTCCTGTAGTAAATAAAAAGAAGTGGGGTGTAAATAGAGGTGTGTTATGATCGTACATAATACCATTCTCCATCAATATTCAAGGCTCTAACTGTCACCAACAAATGCTTTGTAGCCTTTTATTGAATAATAGACACCGGCAATGCACCAAATTATTAAAAACTTTGTTGTAAATCCTTTTATATTATAAATAGAAGTTATTAAGAGTCATATCAGCGAGGAGTATTCCTGTACTACACATTGCTCAGAAAATTTAAAATGCTTTTACTCAACTGGGTTCATAAAATGGGTCTAAAATGTACCCTCCCAAACACATAATGAAAATAGTTTTATATGGATTTACTTAAAGACGTAGTTTTAGACAGGGAAGAGGGAAAAGAGGGAAAAGCATGATGTTGATGATTCTTTATTGTTACACAGTTGGAAGAAGCTGTCACAACACATCTGACATGTTTGTGAAAATGGCGTTTAAATCTCTTTTCTTATCTTTGCTTATACTGCCTTCACACAAAATAACCAGCCTTCAGTTAAAAAAAGACACCATTAAGATCAGCACCTTTCTCTGTTGCTCTCCTTTTGTACAAACGTAACTCCTGTGTTGAATTTGAAGTGGGTTCTTTCCACTATTCTGCGTAATGCTTTTAATTAAACCCCACATTACGCTGATGAAGTTGATAAAGAAGAGAATAAGATTGAAAATAAAGGAGTCTTTTCCTTCAGCGCTGCTTTAAGTGCTGGGGAATTTTCTGAGTTGTGTGACAGTGATGGAGCACTAATTTGACCCTGTCCGACATGTGGGCTGATAAGGCTGACACAGAGGTGCTCCTGTCTGCCTGCCTCTCAGCGACTCAGGGCTACAGAATGGGATGTGTCTGTGTAACGAGTGATCTATGCGCACATACACCTGCTGCTCACAATACTCGCCACTGTATGCTCTGGGGCTGTGCAGTTGGCTGTCAGCAACATCTGGCATGTGCCCTACCCCAATGAAGTCATAGCATCATTAGTACAGCTATAGTGGTCCACATGCCCACATCACAGACAGCAGAGAAGTGAGGTGAGATGCAAGGGAGAAGGTGATGGAGGGCTGTGCTGAGGGCTGTGCTGAGGTGAATGTGGACTGAAGCCGAACTGAACTGAATAGTGTAACAATGTACATCTGACAATTTGCAAGTAGCACTTATGTGATGATCTACGTGTATTTCTCATTAGCATCCAGAGATGGGCAGTTTATCAAAATGTTAATAATGACGTGAATGTTATTTTGAAAATATGCACAATTTGAATATTTAGTATGTAGTTTAAAAACTAATGCAAAAAGAACAGATTCAAAATGAAAATGTTGTAACCTAGGGTATAAAATTATTCTGTACTTTTGTTAACAATTTTACATTAATTTCACAGCTGTCTTTTACTTAACCCTCAACTAATACATTTACAGTTCTATTTTTACTGACATAATGTTGTCTGAATATTTTGAATATTTTAGATTCTACAAAAATATCAACATATTAATTTTGGTCAATATCACCCACTCCTAGATCCAGCAAATCTGTGTTTGCTAAGTCATCTAACTGGGAGGGGTGACTCACTCCCATCTCTGATTCATCCATATTTTTGTTGTGTCCTTAGGCAAGACACTTCACTGATTTTGTCTGTATAGAGCTTTCTGTTCTTATAAAGCTTGATATAAATTGAAGCTGTTACAAATATAATATAAATTTTTGGCTCTACACATGGTTCGATCATACTACAGCATAGGTGATGTCATGTGCATAAAAAACATCATCCATTGTGACTTCCATCCATTGGGCCTTCTCTGCAGCTAAAGCACAGTCACCTGTTGCAGTGGAGTATAGTGCTGATAAACAGCAGCCTCTCCCTGTTTGTGGCTCTATTGATTCATGAGGCAGTCATTTGTGAGCCAGTGGATCAGGCCACAAAGCTATCAGCACTCTGGAAGCTGGCAGGGGTCCAGGATCATACCCCAAAACAATTCAGCACATAGCACTCTGTTTAAAAGGGCACTCTCCTACTTGCTCCTGGCTTCCTATAATTTACACTGTTGAACTGTGACTGTGGTATGCCAGGGTCAATGCAACTTTGGCAACTTATTTTAATTTTTAATTTGAATATAATAACACTATTGTAATTGCATACAACATATAATAATGCTTTCTAATAAGAGTGATTTTTTATGTAACTAGATGTGTTATGTAATGAATAACATTGCAAAATATGAAGTTATGCATATTTTAGGATAAGTCCCTCTGTACTGGCCGGTGGTGAAGGCAGGTCCTTTTAAATATTCATACTGTGCTGGTCCAGGCTATGCAGAAGTACTTAGTACATGTAACTCTGTTTTACTTTCTTTAATACTACTCTCCACTCTTTTGAGTTGTACAGCCTTCACTGTAAACTATGTTTTCATAACTGTCCAGTTGAAAGCTGATTTAGTTCTTGTAGGCCTATTGGAAATGAATTCAATTGCCAATATATTATTATAAAAATAAAACTCTCAGCAGTCAGATGTTAATTAAAATAAAATGTCTAAAGCAAGATTGGAGCCAAAGGTTAGACATGTCCTATCTGATATAATTACACATAATGGACACTTTAAGACTCAAGAGATGGCTTTTATTATGGAAAGCAGTGTTCAATAGTGTAAAGGTTTTTTTTTGCAAACATGTCATGGGCATTTCATATTTAATTAATCCAGTGATTTATCTTTCATTTCTTTCCACCCTGTCAGTAAATTTGAACATCTGTGAAGCCCTGACCTGAAATACCTTGAAAATGAAATGAAGCTACAGAGAGGCTCTCCCAACTCCTCTGGCACTGACAGTCCCTCAGGTGTGTGCTGCTTTCTGCTCTATATCTTCCACCCCATTAACTCTGTCATTAAATCGCACTTCACATACACACATCTTTGTTGCCTCCCAAAGTTTGCCTCGCTCGGTCCTCTGGTTCATTGTGTGCTACAATCTTATGACCAGGACATTTCTATTGCACTCACATTCACCAAGCCATTGCTCCTGATCTAATTATCCCTTGTGGCAGCGTTAGAGCAAACAGATGGAGATTTGCAGTCCAAATTAACATGCAGCCGGCTTTAGTGCACTGAGGTTTTGTTAAACACCTTCAGCCCGCAGAAGTAGATTTTATGGGCAGAGTAACAAATAGTGGCTTGTAACAGTGTAACTTCATCATGGCATCTGCTGTGACTGGGAATTCTAACTAAATCTACTCTAGAGGTGGAAACAACCTAGCCCAGAGCATAGTTAGTTAGCTGAATAACACATAATGACATACAGACGGAGGATAATAAAAGAACAAATTGGTTGTTGATCTAAAATTTAACTAATATTATTAATTTGGCTAATATTAATAATATTAATATAAGTTTGTTAGGGATGGACTGATATGATATTGGTATCCGCATCGAAGCTGAATATTTTGGAGGGTTGGATATTGGCTTCCAAGGTATCGGCTCATACAATATCCAATCGTATTCCGATAAACTGGTGTAATAAGATATTATACATTGGCCCAAAACGTCTCATAATATTAACCTAAAGTTATACAGTAATTATTTTACCTTGTGTTTTAAGGAAATGAATTACATTTTCAGTCTCTGCCTTAGTATCAGCTGATAGAAAAAGCTGTATCAGTACATCCCTAGTTTATACCAATTCAAAACTGTATACAAGC